AGGTGAAGAAATAAACACATTTAGGCAGCTCTTTCTAAAGGCTTGGCTTTGAAGAGAAAAGAGATAAGGGTAGGTATTGCAGAAGTAGCATGAGAGACAACCATGTTTAAATGTCAGTGGGGATGATCCAGTTGAGAGGAAACAGTTGTGAAAGAATTGATCATTGACCATGGAAAATTCCTGAGAAGGTGAGAAAAAGGAGATTCCAAAATACGTGTGGAGGGATTGGCTTTAGTTGGAGGAAGACTACTTTTTGTAAATTAACAGGTAGGAAGGAGAATAGTTATATAGACAGCTTTGTAGATGTGATGGTAAGAAGGTAAAGGAATTCATAGCCAACCCTGTTTTCTTTTTTTCTTTTTCTTTTTTTTTTTTTTGAGACACAGTCTCACTTTGTTGCCCAGGCTAGAGTGAGTGCCGTGGCATCAGCCTAGCTCACAGCAACCTCAAACTCCTGGGCTCAAGCAATCCTACTGCCTCAGCCTCCCGAGTAGCTGGGACTACAGGCATGCACCACCATGCCCGGCTAATTTTTTTCTATATATTTTTAGTTGGCCAATTAATTTCTTTCTATTTTTAGTAGAGACGGGGTCTTGCTCTTGCTCAGGCTGGTTTCAAACTCCTGACCTTGAGCGATTCACCCACTTTGGCCTCCCAGAGTGCTAGGATTACAGGCGTGAGCCACCTTGCCCAGCCCAACCCTGTTCTCTGTGAAGTAAACAAGTCTGAGGTGCCTGTGACTGTGGGACACCCAAGCTCCCCGTAGAGACACCAGCTAGCAGGTAGAGTTCAGAAGAAAGAACTGGGCAGGAGATAGAAATCTGAGCATCCTAAACAGAGAAGTAGGAAGAACTCTTGGGATTAGGAGAAACCATTTGTACTTCTAGCATTGGTCTTGGGGGTGCTGTGTAGCTAAAGTGGTGAGGAGGAAGAACATAGATAGGCAAGGGCATTTAGAGCAACAGGCTATTCCCCTACTCAATCTGATTATTTGTAATGTAGTACACATGTCAGTGGGCCCTGAGACAAGGCTGAGAGCTGCAATATCGTATGCAACGAGATTGTCAGTGTTTGATTATGTTCCCAACACATAGGAACCTCAGTAAAGTGTCTTGGCAAGAGATGACAAAAGGGTCTGGAGCAACAATAAGATAGACTATGACTGAGTCCACTTTCCCTTCCTCCAGAGTAGAATGTGGAAACAATTCTGGGCAGAAACATGTAATGAGAACCAATAAGCAGGGCTTATTAGGAGTGGGTAGTGGGGTGGGGAAGAAATGGCTCTCAGATTTAATTTTCTCAGAGTCAGTATCTGAGTCTCCCTGTGTCCTGTGTTGGGTGGTCAGGACTCTGGCATCATGCCTATTAGGGTCGATTCCCCGAGAGAGCTCTGGTAGCCCCAGTTCAGCCCTGGGACTGGTCTTTTGATGCTTAGAGAGCCGGTTTGGGAGTTTAGAGGGCTTTTCAATGCTCCGGTCTTCTCTCTTGACCCCCACCTTGCTCCCAGTCCCCCGCCCCCGCCACTAGCATGAAGACAAAAAGTTGCTTTATTGCAATGTCTTTATTGCATTACTGGAGCAAGTTGGCCAGACTGTCCCCTCTTGGGGAAGGTTAAAAACAAAAAGACCAAAAAGTATCTCCCCTCACCTTCCCCCCACCCTCCCCCACAACTGCACAGCAATGTCTGAACACATCTGGTGACAAGAACAATTTGCAAAAGTGGCCTAGGAACTACATTATGAACTGTCCCAACACAAGACATACAGTTGGCTTCCTTGTGAATCAGATATTTTTACGTAAACTACATGAATTTTTTTGACTACGTCAAAGACAACAGAATAGGTTTTTCACACATAACAGGGCACCAAAGTCACATGCTGGAACTTGTAAGGAAATAAGGTTCTCACAAGTGGCTAGAGCTAAAGCAAGGCTGAGCAGCTGGCAGCAGAGGACCTGTCTGAAGCCACTGAAGCCTCACAGAGGCCTACTCTAGGGTCTTAACTGGCAACAGACCACCTTAGAAACCAGGAATTGCCCAGATGCAACCCTTGGTTCAAGAGAAAACATGGGGTTGGTTCCTTGCAGCAAGAAGAGGAGAAGATACCACACTGACTTTCAGAGCTGTTTCTGAGCACATGAGGTCCAAAGTAGGAGAACCCATCAAGGCTTGGAGGGAGGAGTGCAAGTGTGAAGTCCTCATCCTTAGCCAGATCAGTGGTAAGGACACAGGCAGCCTATCCAGGCCTGAACCATGGCCAAGGTTTGACATCTTCAGCCAGGCAGAGACAGAGCATTGTTCTGTGGTGAAAGTTCCACCTGGAAAAGATGAGCCTAAGGCCCATGTCCAGCCAGCCCCACACTTTCATGTTGCTGACTAGCTTCTCTAGCCAGGAGAGAAGAACTGAGCCCCTCTGGTCTTGGTCTGTCTTTACCATCTTCCTCTGTGAGACTGCAGTTAAGATGCCAAGAAAGCTAGTCCCAGGGCCCAGGTGATGGGACAGGACACAGAGCTAGACTAATGAAGGAGGTCACAATCTGCTCCCAAGCCATGGAGTAAAGGAGAAGTGTGCTACCCCTCCACGCACACCAGGCCCAGTGGTTGGCAGACTGTCCCTCTGCCATTTCCATTGGCTCAGGATCAGGCATGTCATATGGCAACTGGTCAGAAAAGATATTTTCCAATTTCTCAAATGATCCCTGGGTCTTAGATCCCACAAAGTAATGAATTCAAGAATGAAAAACAGAAATTAAAGTGAAGGAATGTAGGACTGAAAAAAAGCAGCCCTTCACAAGCCAGCCCAAATGTGGGTAATTAGATGGCACTTGCTATCTCCCTGCACCCCCTCAATGTCTGCCCAAAAAGGAACGGACACTGTTTCCTTGTTCAACACCGTAAGCAAATATCCATATACCCATTTGGTTTATTTTGAAAGAACACACTAACATTTTAGTGCCAGATAGAATGGATTCCTGGGACCTAAACCAGGTTCAACACCAGGTGCAAAGCATCCAGGTGTCCCCAGCAGCAATTAGCCTGGCATTGCCCAGGAAAACTTGCAGTGAGATTTCAGTCTGGCAGTGTGGGGAAGGGGTGTGATGGCTGTTAACCAAGGGCATAAGTCAGAACAGTGACATTTGAGGGCGGTTCATTTGTCTCTATCTCACCCAATCTTGAAACTGCAACAAAGCCAAGGAAAAGCCAAAGATAAGCACTTTCCTTCCTATCTTCATCACTACTTTTCCAAAATTTTTTGTCAATATCTACATCATGGTTCATGTTTTAGACCCTCACCCAGGTAAGTGCTTAGAGAAAGTAGTATTTTTCTTTCACCCCCAAAACTAGAGCTCTCCTAGCTGTAAGACTTAGGAACCAAGACCCCAGTACTGGCTTCTCTAGCTCAGCCAGGATGTCTGACTGCACAGCTTTGGGTTCAAACAGCTGACTTGCTCTGAGCTTAGTATGGTCCTAGGATTGGCTCAGAGGCAGCTGGACTTGGTCAAATGAGTGTTGACTGATGCGTGTGGGGCATAATGGAGGCAGGAGTAGATGCCTGCTCCCCCACCCCCATGCCATTCGGCCAGCTTCACTCAGCTGGAAGGCTTAAGCCACATGGAGCAGAAGATTCCTGGCCTAAAATCAAGGCCACTGGAGCATGAGGGCAGACTGTGCACATTGCCTTAATGGCAGGATCACAAAAAAGGCAAAAAGAAAAAGCTTCCAGATGGCTTCTACCAACAGTCTAAACTCTGTACGCCATCTCTTCAGAAACCACTGTATGGAAGCACATGTATAATGTGGTATGACCCTCACCCTGGACACCAGGGCCCCTGGGTCTGTGATTTACTGAGGTCCCTGACCACAACCTGACTCCCCTCCTTAGCCACCTATGGCTCCCTAAAACCCTACCCAGCAAAAGAGGGGGAGATGAAGGGAAATAAACCATGTTTACTATTTCTGCAGGACCTTTAAACTTGGGGAAGCACAAATTAAGAATGTTGTTCTATATCATTATTTGGTTTATCAAGCCATCTAAAAGCACTGGATTGCACTTTTTCTTTACGCACACAAACAAGTTACAAAGGTTTCAAACAACATATCGTTCTTTAGGCTAAGGAAACACCACACGAGCACCAACTTCATTTTATGACTCAAAGCTCACCATCCCCACAAAAAAGAATGCTATTCCTTATTTCTGAGAAACGATAGGACAGAAGGGTTACATTGACCAATTTTAGCATTTGCTAAAACTCACAAATTCTAGTTTTGTTTTTATTTTCAAGTTTTGGTACAGAAGTATACATTCAGCTACTAGTGCTGTCTTCTCCCATCAAACCTTGTTCTGGCAACAAACTTTGTTGGTTTCTGAACATAATGCTTCTTTAAAGGGAGGAGCATGTGAGATGCTGAAGCCTAAATTATGTTAGTAAAATAAAGTACCTTCACTTGAAGGTTTTTTACCACCTTGCCTTAGATTCTTTAAATGAAATCCCAAGCCTCCCCATTTTCCTTTGGTTGTCTTTTCTACCAAATCCCATTCTACCACAGAACCCAAACAGACTTTTTTGGGGAGTAAGGGGGAGGAAGAGAGACTGCCAGACCAAAACAGAACTCCCACCAGAGCCAAGCCCCTGTTGCATTCTCAGAGTTAAAGACCAAAAGAGGACATGGACTCTTCAAAGGCTTCCAAATACATTCCCCACCCCCAGCCCCCATCGAGCCTAGTAAGTTCTGTTGAATGTGCCTGGCTAAACAAAACAAAAACCCCAATGAAATAGACTTTCTCCAAAACATCTGCTTCCAGCTTAGTAAGTCAGTGCAGTGGCACTGCTGAGTAGCAGAGAACCCAGGCCCGTAATGCCCCCATCCAGGCCAGCGGCTGCTCGGCCTCTCCACTTCACATTCACAGAATCACTTCTTGTGCAAAACAAGCAGTCTACGTAGAAAGAATGCCCTCGTAGTCTAATAAAAACTGTAGAAAAGAATGCTAGAGAGCGACCTCTCTCCCCACTTCCTCTTTATCTGCAGAGCGAGGGCATCTGTGCATAGACAGGGTAGGCAAGCCGGACGTTGAGGGAGTCGTTGTGCTGAACCAGGGATGTCTGCTGGTAATGGAGCACCAGCTCTTTCAGAGAGCTGTACAGGTTGTAGGGCTCTGCAAAGCCATAGCCCCGAGCAGTGCTGTAGATCACACAGTGCTTCACTTCCCCATCGGCACTGCAATGACAAACCACAGAAAAAATTGTTAAGGCAGATAACAATGAAGCCAGAGAACACTAAAAGATCAGAAGTCTGAAAGCAATTGTTATGGAAAGGAGGAAGAATCAATCAGACAAAGCTTATAAAATTGTTTTCCCCACCCCCTATAGACTTGGCCACAGATATAGATATGTTAAAACAACCATAAATGTGAGGTTTCTTAACTCTCAATTCTAGTCATTGATCTATGTCCCTCCTTATGTCAGTACCTCACAGTCTTGACTACTAAGTTTTGAAATCAAGAGGTGTGAGTACTCTAGCTCTTTTCTATTTTTTCAAGATTGTTTTGGCCATTCTGGGTCCCTTGCATTTTCCTATGAATTTTAGAATCATCTTATCAATTTCTTCAAATATCCAGCTGGGATTCTGATGGGATTGTGTTGAATGTGTAGATCAATTTGGGAAGTATTACCATCTTAACAATATTAAGTCTTCTGAGCCATGAACACAGGATGTCTTTTCACTCATTTTTTGTTTTTGTTTTTGAGACAGAGTCTCACTCTTTCACCCCAGGTAGAGTGCAGTGGCCTCATCATAGCTCACTCCAACCTCCAACTCCTGGGCTCAAGCAACCCTCCTGCCTCAGCCTTCCAAGTAGCTGGGACTACAGGCATGTGCTACCTGCCTGGCTAATTGTTTATATTTTTGGTAGAAACAGGTCTAGGTCTTGCTCTTGCTCAGGTTGGTGTCAAACTCCTGAGCTCAAGGGATCCTCCCTTGGTCTCCCAAAGTGCTAGGATTACAGGCCTGAGCCACCGTGCCTGACTCTTTTCACTTATTTAAGCTTTCTTTAATTTCTTTCAATGATGTTTTGTAGTTTTCACTGTACAACTTCTTAACACTTCTTTTGTGTTTGTTTTTGTTTTATTAGCAGTCACTGTCTGACCAATTAACATTTGTTTTGTTCCTAGATATTAATATTTCATCTTTTTGATGCTATTGTAAATGGCATGTCTTCGCTTCTTTTTGGCAGGTTTTTTTTTATTCTTTTAGCCTACAGCACCCAGTATTCCCAGGCAGCCTCCCATCCAAGTACTAACCAGGCCTGACCCTGCTTAGCTTCCAAGATCATCCAAGATGGGGCATGTTCAGAGTTGGTATGGCTGTAGACTCTTCATTTCCTTTTTGGATTGTTCATTGCTAGCATATAGAAACTCACCTCTGTATCTTACAACCTACAGCCTTGCTGAACTCACTTATTATTATAGCTCTAATAGTTTACTTCTTCCTTTCCAATCTGGTTTTCTTTTATTTCTTTTCCTTGCCTAATTGCTCTGACAAGAACCTTCTATACAAAAATAGACGTGGTTGGAGCAGACAACCTTGTCTTCTTCCTGATCTTAGGGACAAGCATTCAGTCTTTCACCATTAAGTATGATACTAGCTGTGGTTTTTTCATTAATTCCCTTTATCAGGTTGAGGAAGTTCCCTCTTATACCTAGTTTGTGTTCAGTGTTTTTTAACACGAAAAGAGTAGATTTTATCAAATGCTTTTGTGTGTCTCTATTAAGATAACTGCATAATTTTTGTCTTTTATTCTATGAATATGATTTATTACATTGATTGATTTTTTGTATGTTGAATCACCCTACATTCCTGGGATGAATCCTTTTTATAAGCAGCTGAAACAGGTTTGCTAGTATTTTGTTGAGAATTTTTTATGTCTATATTCCTAAGGCCCACAATTTTCTTTTCTTGTGATTTTTTTTTGCTTTTGGTATCAGGGTAGTACCATCATAAAATGAGTTGGACTGTGTTCTCTTCTATTTTGGGGGAGAGTTTGTGAAGGATTGGTGTTATTGTTCTTTAAATGTTTGGTAGAATCCCGCATGAAGCCATCTGAGCCTGGGCTTTTCTCTATGGGTAGTTTTTGATTAATAATTCAATTTCTTTACTTGTTATATAGTTCTATTCAGATTCTCTATTTCTTCTTCTTCTTCTTCTTTTATTTTTTTTTTTTTTGAGACTCACTTTGTTGCCCAGGCTGGAATGAGTGCCGTGGCGTAAGCCTAGCTCACAGCAACCTCAAACTCCTGGGCTCAAGCAATCCTTGTCTCAGCCTCCAGAGTAGCTGTGTAGGGGACTGACATATATTTTCCTAGTTTAAGAATTAAAATTAGTGAGTAATATATGTGTTCTGCCCAGAGTGTTTGAAAGTAATCTGTTCCCGACAAGGTCCTTGTGATAAACAAAGGTGTTGCCTAGAGGCATAACAAAGGACCTGAGCTGCAAGTAGCAAGAGCGGCTGCGCCCCATGGCATTGGGTGTCTGGAGGCCACACGATAAACACCCCATAAGATGGCTGATTAGTCAATGATCCGTAAGACCCCCTCAAGGGAGGGGCGACCTAATATAGGCACAGCTGCAGGGGTTCAGCCGAAGATCTTAGGGGGTCATCCTAAGAGAAGCTGGGAATGAGAAATGCCCCCTATGGCTCACCTTGCCCATCCTGGCTAACCTCAGTCCTGTATCTATGCCTAGTGCCTAGAGCAACCACCTTGAAATTCTGAGTCAGGGGATATCTGCTTCCCTAAGGCTACGCGCCCCAGAATTTATGGCTATCGCTGCCATGCCTGGGTGGTTACTACAAGGAACTAACTTTAATCTTTTAGAGTATAAAAATAAAACTGACCCAGCGTATTATTACTCGAGTTAACCGTCTGTCCGTGTGTCTGCGTTTTTCTTTGTGTTCTGCATTTGTGTTTTATGTTCTGTGTTCATCCTCCATCCTGTAAACAGGCCACGACAAGCTGGGACTACAGGCATGCGCCACCATGCCTGGCTAATTTTTTCTATATATATTAGTTGGCCAATTCACTTCTTTCTATTTATAGTAGAGACGGGGTCTTGATCTTATTCAGGCTGGTTTTGAACTCCTGACCTTGAGCTATCCGCCCGCCTCAGCCTCCCAGAGAGCTAAGATTACAGGTGTGAGCCACAGTGCCCGCCTCTCTCTTTCTTCTTAAGTCAGTTTTGGTAGTTTGTGTGCTTCAGGGATTTTTCCAACAATAAATACAGCTGACTCTTAAACAACATAAGGGTTGGGGCACTGACCCCCTGCATAGTCTAAAATCTACATACAAATGGCAACAATAATTAGGAATACAAGTTCTCACTACCTGACTCCCCAACCCAGTGGAATACATGCATTGCTAGCTACAGGTCTTTAGCCTGAGAAGGCCCTGGAGTTTAACAACTTCTTCTTAGGCTTCTTTGTGATTGTATTAACAGAAAGTAGAATGGGAAAATAAATGAGAGATCCATGTCTGACATACTACTACATGAACATTTTAATTTTACTATGTAAGTCCTAAAAAACTGAATTTATGCAGGACCCCTACTTCAGCAAATGTCCTAAGTATATTGTGAGATCACTGCTGGCAGGCTTTCTATAGCAAGAGAGGCTGGCAAAAAAGTAGAAGTCTTTGTGTGCCAGCCTTGCTTGCCTCCAATCATCCTCAATATGAATTCCAATATGAAGTATGACTGCAGTTAGTTTTTACAGGCAAGGGAAATCCACACGGTTGTGCACCTGAGTCTGGTCAAATCTGTTGCTAAAGGAAAGAGAACAAGAACACAGTTCCCCAAGATGCAAGCTGCTTCTTGGTTTTCTAGGGATTAGCTTTGATGGGCAGCACCTGGGCAGCACCTCTAAACAATTCCTTAACCTACAGGCTGCCATCCAGTGACCTGGATGAAACTAAGGGCTGAGCTTACTGTCTTCCTTCTTTTTATTATTCTTAAAAGATCTCAAATCTTTGCAAGAACCATCCTTTCTTGTCATTTCCACTCAAATACAGTAGCTCAAGTGAGAGAAAAATGAAATGTTGTAAGTAGTTGTATGTTTGAATAACAGTAATCCAATGCACTTTTCAATTCCTTCCCCATATTCTCCCCATAAGACGTCCCATTCAACGTCCAGCTCAAATGCCTTTTCCACAAAACCTCCCAACCCTTTCTGTCTCCACTAGAATTAACACTTCTGTATGTACACAGCCTACTAATGGTACCTATTTCACAGTGATTCTATTTATATTGGATATTTAGTGAAATGAAGAAAGCCTGGTGCAATAGAAAAATGTGGGCTTTGAAACCAAATTTGGATTCAAACTCTGACTCCATGACAGAAGTAGACCACTGAAGACAAGATGATCATGTAAAACACCAAGCACTCTGTTCTTATGAATCCTTTTGTCTAGCTTCTCCACCCTGCCCTCTTTGCCATCTTTGTTTGTCTTTTGCCGTGTCCATCATGATCATAGTAATATTAGTAGAAACATTTACTTATTATGTGCTGTCACTGTTAAAAGCATTATATTACATATATCAACTCATTTAATCCTCACAAAAACCCTGAAGTAGATATTATTAATATTATTCTTATTCAAAGATAAGGAAACTACACAATGAAAGGTTAAGTAATTTACCTAAAGTTACACTGCTGGTAAGCAGTAGAGCCAGGATTTGAACCCAGTATATTTGGCACCTTCACATCTAAGTGTGGTCTTTGTCAGTGAAGATGTTCACCATCTTAAGGAGTATACTAAACACTCAGACAAAACCTGACCGAGACCTGGTTAGTTATTCCCTGAATTTCACTTTCCATTAAAAGGAAAATAGGCTTTTCTCAAAAAAAGTCATAAGGTCATCTTAGGAAAAATCCCTCCACATTTTCTATCACTACCTCACAGAATACTATTTGATTTTAAAATTTAGAGTTTTTCTTTTGAAGTCAAATAGTTTATTTAATCAAGCCTTCCCTAATTTGACACTGGAGACCAAGCTAGGCATACTGGAGACTACTAAGGAATTAAGTGATTTTTTTTCTCAATTCAAGATCTCACATTACTTTTCACAGATACCTAAAATCCAACCACAATACTGCAGGGCCTAATCTGCTTACCATGTAAATTAAGACCCCAAGATAATTTCAGATATCATTTTTCATAAAACTGGTTTTTTTGTACAAATATTAATGGTCCAAGCCATGGGTCCTCATTACTGTACTTTAATCTTATCTCAATTTTTTTTTTTTTTTTTTTAGACAAAGTCTTACTCTCTTGCCCTGGGTGGAGTACAGTGGTGTCATCATAATTCACTGCAACCTCCAACTCCTGGGCTTAAGTGATCCTCCTGTCTCAGTGTTCCAAGTAGCTGGGGCTACAGGCACGTGCCACTATGCCTGGTTAATTTTTCTGTTTTTAGTAGAAATGGCGTCTCGCTCTTGCTCAGGCTGGTCTCAAACTCCTGAGCTCAAGCACTCCTCCTGCCTCAGCCTCCCAGAGCGCTAGGATTACAGGTGTGAACCACCATACCCTAGCCATCATCTCAATTTTATGAGGGGTTGATTTTATATTAATCAATGATTGATTAATCACTGATTTTATATTAATCAATGCAGATTTCAAAAGAATGCATTAATCAATGCAGATTTCATAACCCCAGAGAAGACTTACACCACAGAGCAAGCATAGCATCCTTTCTTGCTGCTCTCACGAATTAAGAATGCACCATCAGGTTTCCCATAAAGCAAATCCTCTGCTTGAACTCGATTGATATCCTCCACAAACCAGGTTTTCTCATCATAATGGGGCAGGTTTTCATCTTCTTCATTGATAAAATAGTTCCTAAAATTAAATGTTAATACATTATTCTAACAATTAGGTTACTTAGATATAAAAGCAAATTCATTAATAAAATACTCTTCCAAATCTTTAACCACAAAATGACAAACCAAAACTACAATTAGTTGGGTGTTTTTTAAAACACTTCATTACTTGCTGTGTTACAGAAAGCACAGCATTCACATGTTTCATCCAATAAACTGAAACATGAATATCAGAATACCAGTGCTTATGCATCCAGATTTCCTGTGGCTAGGCAGGTCTCTGAACTCAAGTGCCTATACGGTACTCTTCAGGCAACTCAATTCAAAAGAGATTCAAAGTTCTTCATTCAATGTCTTCAAGTACAATGAGAACCAACATTTAGCATATATAAAGAAGGTCCTGTCTTATACTGAGAACAAAGCCCTATGACTGAACGGTATAGAGAGAACTTACTCATCAGCATCCTCATTCTTGATTCCTAGCCATGCATTCAGGCGCTTCTGTCTCACTCCTTTGTGATTGAGCCATCTGCCAGAGGAAAGACACCAATGTCAGTAACTATGCAAATTCGGCCTGTACAAGGTACATATGTCCAAGCTAACCAAATTTTCAGAGTCCAGAAACGTATTTTTCCTTATCTCAACAAAGAGTAGACAAATATTTCCCTACATTAGTCTCCCTATTACTTTTCCTTCAACTAATACCATGATGAATTAATTTTTTCTGCAAAAAGGCAGAAACAGAGAGAGCTACTTGAAATTAGATGCTTCTCTTACTTTTCATTTTTCTTTTCTGGATGGTTATGCCACCACAAGTTCACACATACTTACATTCACACACAGTGGGGTATTTGTTTCTGAAATTATAAGTTAGGTGAGCATAGTGTCATATTTGCAATCTCCATTAAACCAGAGGACCCACTTCCTGTGTGGCCTACTGAACTGAGTTTAAATTTCTAAACTATATATTTCCAAATGAGGTCACATAAAAAAATAAATAAATAAATAAATAAATAAATTTCTAAACTATAAATTTCAAGAGCTATTTTTGCCCCTTAGCAAGCCATAGGAAATTCAGGGTGGCAAGCTGAATAATTAATATGAGTGTATATACTATTAATAAAATACCACGGCACTCACTCTAGCCTGGGCAACAAAGCGAGACTGTCTCAAAAAACTAAATAAATAAATAAATAAAATAAAATCTGAAGCCCCCACAATGATTCAATGGACCCCCTCTTGCCCAATGGGACCCAAAAATACCCTAAAGCTGAGTTGCTAGCCATGAGAAAAGAAGTCAGACATGCCTCATCAAGTCCCCCTTCCTTGAAGACATCCTTTGTAACTCATTAATGGGCCTAAGGCTATATAAGACAAAGTTTAAATCTTACCTACAGGTCATCAATTTACTTAACAGATCACTTGAATCTTGGTATATGTCTGGTGGCTTGTCTCTGATTAACAGATTTCCGTATCTTAACTTAAAACATTCCAAACCTTTAGACAAAGCTTCATTTCTTTTTTTTTTTTTTTTCTTTTTGAGAGTGAGTCTTGCTCTGTCGACTGGGGTAAAGTGCAGTGGCATCCTTGCAGCTCCTTGCCAACCTCAAACTCCCAGGCTCAAGTGATCCTCTTGCCTCAGCCTCCCCAGTAGCTGGGAATATGGGTACATAACAGGACACCCAGCTAATTTTTCTGTTTTGAATAGAGGTGGGATCTCACTCCTGCTCAGACTAGTCTCAAACTCCTGACCTCAGGTAATCCTCCCATCTCGGCCTCCCAAAGTGCTAGGATTATAGGTGTGAGCCACCACACCTGGCCTCTCTTTTATCTTTAGTTTACACAACCCATTAAAGGAATTTTCAAGGTCTGTTTTGCCAAATGGTATGATCTGAATGTCTGTATCCTCCCAAAATACGTATGTTGAAATCCTAATCCCCAAGGCAATGGTATCAGGAAGTGTGGACTTTGGGAGGTGCTTAGGTCATGGAGGCAGAACCCTCATGAATGGGAATAGCAACCTTATGAAAGAGGCCTAAAAGAAACCCCTCACTCTTTCCACAATGTGAGGACACAGCTAGAAGGTGCCATCTAAGAACCAGAAAGCAGTCACCTACCAGATACCAAATCTGCCAGTGCCTTGATCTTGGACTTCCTAGGCTTCAGAACTGTGAGAAATTTCTCGTTTATAAGCTACTCAGTTTATGACATTTTGTTTTAGCTACCTGAACAAAGACACCACACTTATTCATGCCCCTTGGGATGGTATATTTCCTATAGCCTTCTTGAGCTTTTCTTCAGCTTCATGATGTGATCAGAACCACATGAGCATTCCAAGAGCAGACACACCTTACTTTTAGATAAGGCACCTCCTGGCCGTGTTTACAAAGCTCTTCTGTATGCTGTGTACACTTGCTTGACTACTTTTGGCCACAGAAGCAAACTGAAATGATCTCTTGAGAGGGGTGTTGTTAAAAACTATTCAGCATAGTATAGCTGTAATTATTTACCCCCAAAATATGTCACCTAAATTTTCCTCTACTGAAACTCATCTGCCACTGTTCCAATCTCTGGGCCTATAATGTATCCTCTCCCTCTTTCACACACAAAGAACCCTGAAGTCTATGTAAAACCTAGAGTTAGAGGTCTTTGCTTTGTCTTCTCCTGCCAGTAGTGTGAATTGAGTGGTATTATATGCATGAAAGTCACCCATAAATATATTACTATTTCATAACAGTCTAGTCATGACCAGAACAAAGCCAAATATATATAGTATTTTCCTTTCTCATGGGTTCTCCCTTTTTGAAGCAGTCATTTGTCCTTCTGAAAATCTAATCTGCACATTTTATTCTGATAATATATCTTTCGCTCTATATTTCGATAATATCCCTATTATGCCTATATTTGGCCAAATCATATGGCTTCCCTAATATTAAAGAGTTGGGTTTCAAGCTGGGCAGGGTGGCTCACACCTGAAATACTAGCACTTTGGGAGGCTGAGGCAGGAGGATACTTTAAGGCCAGGATTTCAAGACCACCTGTGCAATAGCAAGACCCCATCTCTACAAAAAAGAAAAAAATTAGCTGGGTGTGGTGGCATGCACCTGTAGTCCCAACAAATCAGGAGGCTGAGGCAGGAAGATCGCCTGAGCCAGGACTTTGAGGTTGCAGTAAGCTATGATGATGTCACTGCACTCTAACCTGGGTAACAAAGCAAGACCCTGTCTCAAAAATAAAATAAAAAGAGTTGGGTTTCATTACTCAGTCAAATTAGCTGAAGTGCCTGCTACAGACACATTTCTGTTGTTTAAATATAGAATCTCATTTCTTATACATAAAAATCATTTAAGAGATTGTTCTGTATACCTATTTGCAGGCTCCCATGATTAGTGTCCTTCCCTGTGCCTCTGAGGGTAATTTCTATTTCTGTAGTTCTACCGTGTAATCAAAGATTCTAGTTTTTGTTTTAGGCAAACATTAATCTGTACTTTTTTTTTTTTTTTTTTTGAGACAGAGTCTCGCTTTGTTGCCTAGGCTAGAGTGAGTGCCATGGTGTCAGCCTAGCTCACAGCAACCTCAAACTCCTGGGCTCAAGCAATCCTTCTGCCTCAGCCACTCGAGTAGCTGGGACTACAGGCATGCGCCACCATGCCCGGCTAATTTTTTTTTTATATATATATTAGTTGGCCAATTAATTTCTTTCTATTTATAGTAGAGACGGGGTCTCGCTCTTGCTCAGGCTGGTTTCGAACTCCTGACCTTGAGCAATCTGCCTGCCTCGGCCTCCCAGAGAGCTAGGATTACAGGCGTGAGCCACCACGCCCGGCTAATCTGTACTTTTTAAGCTGTATCACTTTGCTCATGCCACAGCCAGTCTCTGAGATTTCCAAGGTATATGTATGAATTAGAGTCCTACATTCTGATTTGCCCCATGAATAGACTTCAGATAAACTCTGGTACCCCCTACAACAAATAGGACTGCTTTCCTAAGTTCTTACCATCTCACTGGTCTCTTCTCAATTACAGATTTCTCCTTTTACCTTTCATGTCTCTAGTGCCAGTAGTAACTTGGTGGTAGGTAGTGTCTACCTTCCCATACAGTTCCCACTACTTACACAAGGTGCTGATCTCGGATCTTGCGCAGCTGTATCAGGTCAGGTTTGATGCTATTCATTTTTTTATCTATTTCTCGGTTGTCCAAAGCTTGTTTCTTCAAATCCTGCTCTAGACGCATTTTGCTATCATGAATCTCACCCAGACGGGATTTCAATTTATCATAATTCATCATAATTCTGTGAAAATATGTGACATATTAAAGCTAAAATAGCAACCACACAAAAGGATCCTATAGTGTGAGCATAGTCCTAATATCTCAAGTGTGGTAAACATCTGTTGTTTTTGCCTGGCCAAAAGCCATTCCCATTCTTCTGGTAACAGCACCCTGATGTTCCCTGTCAGTAAGGGTTTTCTACCCTCATCTCAGATCCAGGGGTGAACACACACTCAGTCCACACTGGCCAATAAGAGTATTCCATCACATCCCATTTCTACCCTCAGGCCACAGTGACTGGTTCAGGAATGGGAATTAGACTCAAACTGACCCAATCAGAGTCAATTCTGGGACTTTTGCTCAACTATTGTTAAACGAGATTCCCTCTTTTCACAGAGGTTGCTAAGTTAAGAATATGCAATTCTAGGATTCCCAGCAGCCATAGTGCCACCTCACAGGGGAAACCTACCTGAGAATAAAGCAAACCCAGAGAAAAACTGAACCAAAAGACAATGTGAAAGAGAGTATCCCAATGACCTTGTTTGAGCCCTGGATACAGCCACAACTGAACAAGTAAAGCTACATGTGTGATATTCAAGAGTAGCACAGAATAGCAGTTAAGAGCAATGGCTTTGCAGTTAGTCTACCTAAGTTTGAATCTCTGCTCTGTCACTTAATGTGGGGGCTGTGGGCAAGTTATTTAATTCCTATGTGTCTTCATTTCCTCGTCTGTTTAAAATGCGTATCTACAACTGTACCTACTTCACTGGGTTACTGTGTTAATTAAATGTGATAATACATGTAAAAGGACTAGAACATTGCCTGGCACGTCTTGGTAGGCACTCAGTAAATGATGGCTATAATCTTTTCCAACACACAAAAGTTTGCTATGCTCTGAACCGTCAAGGTAACAACTATCCACATTACTCCTCTGTCACTCAATAATATGTGGCTTTATTTTACTATTAAAACTTCATCATGCTACTTTACCTCCCTCAGCAGCTAAACTATAAGTTCTTTCCTATTTCTTCATTAGTAATAATAATAATCACCATTTATTGAAAGCCCACCATGTGTCAAGATACATATTACTTAATTTCCACAGCTTTCCAACAAGATATTGGCCACAGTTTTTGGAGAGAAAAGGATTTAAGAGAGGTTAAGTAACTCACTCAAGGTTACACAGCGAATAAATGGCCAACACAGAATTCAAGCCCATGGTTTTAACCATGAAGCTACACTGCTTCACAGCACTTAGCTCTATACTCATGCACACAGAAGTACACTAATTTGTGGTGCTAATGAGAAATAAGTTTGTTTTTCCATTGCTTATTATTCATTTTCATTTATTATCCACTTTTTGAATCCCTTTCACTCTTCAACCCACTTATTATCAAGTTCAGTCTTGCAATATTCCATTAAATTTGCTTTGATAAAAGCTTCCAATATCCTTTTAGTTGCCAAATCCAATACTTCTCATACTGCTCATTCTCTCTGTGTAATCTCATTCTTAGCATATACATCACTTACATACTTATGCCTCCCAAATCCTTTCTCTACCAAGTTCCACATCCAAATAACCAGTTGCCTGTCTTCCAGAGAGCTCCATTTAGGTTCTCACAGGAACTTCAAACTCATTGATTCTAACTCCAAATCATATGTGGCTTTATATTACTATTAAAATTTTATCATGCTACTTTATCTCCCTCTGCACCCAAACTATAAGTTCTTTCCTATTTCTTCGTTAGAAAGAAATAGGAAGTCATATATTTCTATTTTGGTGAATAATACCATCTCCCAGTCACTTACACTAGAAATCTACGAATAATCTTTGACTTCTCCCACACCTACCATATCTGGTCAGGCATAAAGTCCTCAGCATTTCTCCTAATTCTCCCTTCTTTTCTGCCATTGCTCTGGTCTGGGTCCTTTTAACCAGATGACCACAACCATTGTAGCCACCTGCAATACTCAGCCTGGTCTTCCTGTCTACAGACTGTTCCACTCTAATTTATTCTTAGACTGCTGCCAAAGTTGATTTTCAGTTCAAAAAAACAAAAAACATTCAACTGAGTTCCAATTATGTACTCCAGGCACCTTAATGGGTACTACTAGGGCTATCAGGGAAAAGAAGCTACCATGTCTACTCTCAATAAGTTTGCAGTTGAATAGGCAATTATCAGGGAAGAAAAGAAGTCGTGTCTCATTGATGTACGTAGAGGTATTAAGTAGACTCACCGTTCAATCTCCTTTTCATTCCCTTCTCTGCGAAATCGCTCAATATATTCTTTGCTGTGTTGTTCTTGTGTATGACACTGTTCCTCAAATATTTTAATTGTTTCATTAAAAGCTTCAATTGCAGTCCTCTTCATCTGTATTTCCTACAGGAGAGAAAAAGAAAAGATATAACTTCATTATCTTTATTATTTTTTTCCTAACCTTTGTCTTAAAACAAATTTTATAATTCTGGCTATAATCCCATATAAGACCAAATTAAGAGGGATAAAGCAAGGCCTATTATTCAACCCCAACCCTATTATGTCTATGTAAAATACAACATTCAAACTATGAAATAAGTGAAAAGAACCATTATCTGTTATAGCTGAGAACCACAGAAAGGTCTCTGAGCTGCCGAGAGAGCTTAATCTCTTGAAGTCTTGAAGACGAAGATCAAGTTCTGCCTTTGCACCTATTATTGTAGTGCTCATCCCCAAAAGCTGCTGAAGGAGTGAATGGATGGAGCTGGGGATTCCATGCACCAAAGTACAAAGTCTTATTTTCAGAGAGCCCTATAAAGTCTATTTATTCTTACTCTCATTTCTAAACTATGTACATAGTTTTCCAAACAGATTCATCACTAGATTAATCTTATTAGTAGAAAATGAAAAGGGAAAGAATAGCTGCTAAAGTCAGATCCATGAAGAATAATAATAAGATTAGAAACTAAAAATTCCACAAAACAGACTCAATTACTCCAAAGGCCCAGTAGGCTAGGCCATTCAGCATCAGAGTAAACAGTCCTATACATTTCAAGGAGCTCTGAGGACATTAGCAGATTTTAGCATCTGGATCATGATTCCCCTAAAATCTTCAAAGGGTTAAATTTTGTTATTTGCATTATAGAAAGCCAATAAATATGCATAAAGGTTTAGAAAGTTTGCTATCCTGATGTTTACAATTCTAAAAGTTTTGATGCTTGTGGGAGAATTCCTCACTTATCCAGTATTTATTAGGCTGGTTTGTTTGTTTGGTTGGTTGGCTGGGTTTTTTTGTAGCTATGCTGCCCAGGCTGGACTCAAACTCCTGGGCTCAAGGGATCCTCCCACCTCAGCCTTCCGAGTAGCTGGCCCTACAGGCACATATAACCATGCCCAGTTTCAGCATTTATTAATTTTGACAAATGATTATTAAGAATCCACTCTACAGAAAGTACCATGTGGTGATAAAGAGATTTGTGAAACATGGAGCCTGTCCACTAGGCCTCAGAATACACAGGTGGAAGACATTTCTGAACTCTAATAAGGTTTTGTTTCATGTCATGGTAGAGGCACCCAAATGAGGTTATTAAGTTATTTATTGCTTTACAGAAGCTTCACAGAGGATGTGACATTTACTTAAACCAGGTCTTAAAGAATTGGGATAGAGGAAGAAAATGCAGCATTGCACAAAGAAGGCATGGTATGGCATATACATAAAATAACAGGGCATGTTCAGGGATCAGCATTTGCTTAGTAGGGCTGGAACATAAGAAGATTAGCAGATGAGAGAGGCTAGAATCTTGTAATGGTCCACATAGTTGCCACTATATCATACATATCTCAGATAATTCTGAAAACATACTGGAATGCCCATATCTAAATATTAATATATTGCTACAAATGCTATAACTGTTATAGTGGAGGATCTTGGCTTCCTTGCAAACAAGATTAGAAATTACCTACAAAGTTCTGGCCCTGGATCTTCAAAGAAAACATCAAGAATTTAGACTTTACTAACACTGGTATGTGTATTGATAGGTAGGACAACAAAGGGAAAAGAAGTATTTAATATCAGTACCAAATCAGCAGTTTCCCCATAAACAATACCACTACACCTACCACTAAAACTATGAACCCACCTGTATCTACACCCATTCTCTCCCTTCCCTTCCCTTTATGTATGTGTGCTCTGAGTCTCACCTCCTCTTTCTTTCTCAGATACTTCACTCCAATATTATCAGCCAGCCCCTCTTACATTATTAACTCTCCCAGTCGAATGGTTCCTTCTCATCAGCATACAAATTCTGGTAACACCACTTGTGGGGAAAAAAAATCTCTTAATCCTAAATTCTCTCCAAATCATAGATAAGTTTCTTCAAAGAGTTGTTTATATGGGCTATCTCTCTTTCCACATCTTCCATTCACACCAACTCACTCTATCCTGGCTTTTGCATTTACCATTCCACACAGGCTACTCTTTTCAAGGTCACCATGATCTCCTCATTGCCAAACTGCTCTCTCTTATCCCAAACCATCACTCTTCTTCCTAATTATATGTAATTCAGATGTGAAATATCCCCGTACGCAGCCTATTCTCACCCTGTGCCAACTTTGACTGAGGGCACACAATCTCTTCCCCTTCTCTAAGAAGAATTCACTTACTCAATGTCAACTCTTTAATATTTATTTTCCTAGCACACTTCCTGTGCCACTAATCACTGGGTCCCTCCTCTCTTTTCCTTTCATCTTCCAAAGCTGTACACCTCCATGGCTCTTCTCTGCCCAGGCCCTTTTCAAGTGCTGCCCCCAATTTTCATAGAGAAATGTAGCTCTCTGTTAGCTTATACCTACTGCTTTTTTTTTTTTTTTTGAGACCGAGTCTCACCCTCTTGCCCAGGCTATAGTGCTGTGGCGTCAGCCTAGCTCACAGCAACCTCAAACTCCCGGGCTCAAGCAATCCTCCTGCCTCAGCCTACAAGAAGCTGGGACTATAGGCATGCACCACAATGCCTGGCTAATGTTTTCTATGTATTTTTAGTTGTTCAGCTAATTTCTCTCTATTTTTAGTAGAGACAGGGTCTTGCTCTTGCACAGGCTGGTCTCAAACTCCTAAGCTCAAGTGATCTTCCTGCCTTGGCCTCCCAGAGAGCAAGGATTACAAGCGTAAGCCACTGCGCCCAGCCCATACCTAGCGCTTTTTTTGATTGCCTCCATCCACCCCTATATCCAACTTTAGAACTAGGGATTCCAAGTTCAGCACCCAGTCCTTTATCAGCTGCTCAGAACTCCTATTCTGCAGCTAAATCCCCCAATATTACTAAACATGTGGCCACATACAGAGCTTTCTCTGTTTTCTCCAGCCATGACAAGAAAGCAGAAATGCAGCTGTATATAAACCAAAGCCACATGCAACAGTAGCCATTTTTCCTAGCTTCTGTTCATTGGAAGGTTAGGCTTCCCCTAGACCTCAGTTCATACGAGTTTGACTACAGGCCCCTAAAAAGGGTGAAGTGTTTTTGGTTCATTCTCTTGCATAAATTCAATGAATACTGAACATTAACTATGCCAGGCATTTACCTGAAGCATTTGGGATATTAGAGCAAACAAGCTTAGTCAAAGATTTCTGCCCACCTAGAACTTATAATAGTTTAGGGGGTTATACAGATAATAAGAAATAGACATGGTAAGTAAGTTACATAGTTTGTTAAAAGGCGAGAGTTATTATTAAAAAAGAAAGCAGAGTGGGAAAGGAAGATCAGAGTGTGAGTTGCAATTTTAACTAAAGTTGTCAAATAGCCCTCATTGAGACAATAACATCTGAGCAAGTTTGAAGGAATGAAAGGGTTAGCTGGGTGACTATCTGAGAGAAAAGTGTTCCAGGGAAAGAAATAGTGTAAACACTCCAAGGTGGGAAGCAGATGTAACACATTCGAGAAACAGCAAGGTTAGTAGGGCTAGAGCACAGTTAGCGAGAAAGAATTATTAGAAATGAGGTCAGAGAGGAAGAGGGGCACAGATCATGCTGAGCATTATAGAAAGGACTCTGGCTTTTTACTCTGTGTAAGATGTGGAACCAGAGCAAGGTTTTAAACAATGGAATGCTGTGATCTGACCTGCGTTTTACAAGGGTCACCCTGGCTGCTATGCTAAGAACTGAATTGGAGAGAGGAGCGTGGATAAGAGCAAGAAGACTAGGTAGGAGGTCTCTGTGGTAAATGCAGACAAGAAATGATAGTGGGTTGAACCAAGGTATTAGCAGTGGAGGTGGTAAGAAGGGGTTGGATTCTGAGTATATACCGAAGATAAGGTAAACAGGATTTCCTGATGAACTGGATGCAAAGTGTAAAACAAGAGTTTAATATAACTCCAAGGCTTCTGGCATCAACAAGAAGGATGTGATTGCTCTCAACTGATACGGGGAAGGCTAAGGATGGAATATCAGAGTTCTGATTGAAAAAGGTGTGGGATTACAATGGCCAGAGATACTTTAATGGTTCATTTTCCTATGTGAGATATTTGATTCCACTTTATTTTCAGGTTTTCTTTTATTAGTTATTCAGAATTATTTAAATAACCTTTTTTCCCCTTTCTAGCTAATATTTGCATTGTGGTATACCTATGTGTATGTGTGTTTAACTGCAAATTTCAGCTTCTCTTTATTACTTTAGCTTTTCTAGATGAATTATCTATGATCAGGCCAGTGTTCAGGCATAGAATGGGGAAAAAGTAACCAGGTGCAAGTGTCTCATGCCTGTAATCCTGGCACTCTGGGAGGCCTAGGTGGAGGATTGCTTGAGGTCAGGAGTTCAAGACCAGCCTGAGCAAGAGTGAGACCCTGTCTCTATTTAGAAAAAAAAGAAAAAAAGAATGGGGAAAAAAAATTATTAAGCTTCTTCAGACTGAATCAGCCTAAGTATTTAACATTAGGGATTGGTGCAATGATCATACATTTACTAGAACGTTATACAGATATTAATTTGTTTTTCAGAAATTATATTTAGAATTTTTCTGAGCTTTAAAAAGTATAAAAGTTATATAAATATGCCCATTAAATTCAATATAAATTACTGCTGAATTCTATATGAATTATATCATACAAAGTAAAAGTATCCATTCCCCAAAGGCAACTGCTGTTATTAAGCATATCTTAGGAATTCCTAATGACCTAAGAAGTCTTATGATATAGTTTCAGGTAAAGGAGACAGCATGTAGGATTGTGTGTACAATGTGATTTCAGCCATGGGGATATACACAGGCCAGTATCTCCTAAACAGCCCCACCAGTCCTGAAGTTCCTGGTACAGTCTCTACTTTTACAATAATCACCAGACACTAGCTTGGAAATAAAGATTAAGGACATTGGGTCTGAGAAAGTAGAGAACATAAATATTAGGGTCAAAACAA